TGTGTGTGTGTGTGTGTGTGTGTGTGTGTGTGTGTGTGTGTGTGTGTGTGTGTGTGTGTATTTGTCGTTGGTATTTTCATTTTTCTGGTGCGTTTTTGTTCCTTTTTGCTTTTGTTGTTTGACACATAAAAAAGATGGGAAAAAAAGAGTGGTTGGGATACTGAAGACGTTGGTAAAGCGAAAAATGCATGTGGCAAAAGCCCTCGATAAAAATAGCCATATCACTATAACGATTACGGAACTGAAGAAAGCGGCTGAACTGCTTCAACTACCACCACAACATACACACACACACATACACGGACTCTTTCTTTTTTTTAACGAGAATGGAATGGAAAAAACATATCGTGTATTCGATTTTCGCATGGTTTTCAACATTTTTCATTTATTGGGAAAATGTTCGAATTTTCAATGCATAATTCATGACATGACAGCGTCGATGGAAGTGGGTACTTTTTAGCATATACACACATTAAACTTATACGAACGTTGAAGAGAGAGAGAGAGAGAGAGCGAGATAGAGAGAGAGAGCACAGCAAAGGAAAGAAAAAACAACTCACATACACACAATTCAAGCCACATACCGAGTGAGCCGTAGTGAGCCGAAGAATAAAAACCATTGCAGTTCGCCAATACATTCTTTGTAACGTCAGGAACCGATACATTTGCAATAGACTACTCACGCTCTTGCACTCCCTCTCTCACTCGCATACTCCACGAATCGTATAACTTTTTCGCGTAATATTTATGAATATTGAATATGCATGGTTTGGCATAGTGTAGTTTGGTATGGTATGGTCACTCTCTGGCATTCCATCGACCGTAAAACGAAAAATCAAACCCACCCCGCCATCCCTCTGCCATCTCTATGTATATCTATATAGTAAACTAACCGAGTGACCAAAATAATAACAGAGACGAGGAATAACAAAAAAAAAGAATGCAGAGAGTATCTCTCACAAAAATTAAATAATAAACAAACAAATATGTATACAAATAAGCGAACGAAACCAAATCAAACTGAACCGAACCGAAAGTTGGGTCACTTGTTCGCTCGCATGTTCACAGTTTTATCTGCAGACGATACAAATACCGTCGAAAATCATTAAATTAATACTGTTCATACGTCGTAGTTATTTGTGTGTGCATAAATTTTGTGTGTTGGTGTTATAACAGAGAGAGAGAGGGAACAAGAGATACAATGAAAGCGCAAGCAAGCGAAAGAGGATCTGATATTTGAGTGATCGAAATACGTGATTTTTTTTTGTTGTTGTTTTCATTTTTATTGCGTTCTGATAACCGCCTTTTTTTCGCCTTCCATTAATATAATATGGCAAACAAACAACAGCAACAACGAATTTAAATCGATTCGAGTTTTTGTATGTGCAGCTTAATACACACAGCTCGAGTGAGCGAACCAGTGAGTGTGAGCGAGACACACACACACACAGAGAGAGAGAGAGAGAGAAAGTGTGTGCGGTGATGCAACAAGATGAAGGGAGAAAATGAAAATTTATTCTACAAAATCATCACACATAAATCACAAAATAATATTTACACATTTCAAAATCGGATGAAGAAACAACATACAGTGGCGAATACCCGGGAATTCAGTTGTGGAACCGTCATCGTCAACAACAATAGCAAATTCTCGCACACTTTGATAGATGCTGCGCACACACACACACACACACACAAACAGAAGCAAATACATTGTGAGAGAAAGCGTGAGAGTGAACGAGTTCGAGAAAATAACTTTATTTTTTGGGGTTCTTCGGTTTTTTTTGTTGCCTCCTTTTGCAAATTTACGAAAATTCAATTCTCATGAAAATTTTGCGAAAAGATTAAAATGCTGCTTTTGCTGCTGCTGCTGCTGCTACATGAGCAGCGACGAGAGATCAGACTTTTTTTTCTTCGCTTGCTTGGCGAAAGAATGAGAAAACGTTCAGACAGGCTGTTTTGAAGTAAAATCTATCGAAAATGGTATGCAAGCGTGAGAGAGTGAGAAAGAGCAAAAGCGGCAAGTGGCTGACTGCTTCGTTTCGAATCTGTGGCTGTGGATTTCGGAATGCACATACAGCGGCACAGAGGTTGATTTAGCTCGAAATAAGTTTTCAGTAAAACGCGGCTTTTGGGTACAAAGCAAGAGTAACCAAAAATGTAGTTGGCTAAACTTTACAGAAAGTTTCATCAAAATACGTATGTTACCCATTCATTTCATTTCATTCCTTCAACATACACACACACACACATTCGGCAAAGAATCAAATATGAAAAGAAAATGTGAGATTGAAAATTCCGGGGCAAAAAAGCTCGCATTCTCATGTTTTTAAAGATATTTTTGTGTATTCATGTTGTGGATGTGCGAAACGAAAACAGGGCAACAATAATAGCAGCCAAAAAAAGTTGAAACAGCCAAAGAGGATTATAACTGAAGAGTGAAATATGAGGCAAACAAAACGAAGAAAAAAAAAGAAAAAAAAAAGCAAACGCGGTGTTACACTTTTGATTCTCTCTCGCTCCGTCAATGGAACATACACAATGCGAGCGAGCGTGTGCAGCTATAGAATACACGAAAAAAAAAACAACAACAACAAACCGTTCCAATTTTTCAACATGTCAATTGTCTACGGCAAAAATAAACACACAAACTTACACATCGGCATTGAGTTAAAAAGTAGACAATATAAAGGGAAAACGAAGAAGAAGAAGTGGTCGAATGAAAGAAGAAAAAAAATATTGTATAATGTAAAGACGAGAGAAACGCGTTCGCGACTGTTGAAATATGCACGCGAAATAGTAATGCAGCTGAAGTTGGAAATTTTTTCTTCCAATACGTCGCGAATACAGCAACAGCAAGCTGATAAATAATCAAAGTGTAGTCGGGTATTGGAAACTCTCGTTTGCATCGAACGAACGAACTACCGTATAGCAGAGGAGGCGAAAAAAGATTCAAATTTACTCTCTCGGTTTATTTAAATTGCAGGAAAAACGGAATCAAAGTTTCAATGAAAAGTTGAAAGAGAGAAAAAAAAAGACTTACCATTTCTGTTTTCGCTATCGGCTGGCTTCATTTGAATCGGATGATGCATCTGCGAGTGAAGAAACGATGTAAACGACGAACATAGAAAAAGAAGAAAAAAAAGATATGGAGATTGAGAAAAAAAATGGAATCGAAAACTGTATAGAGGGAATGTAAATTATTTTTCAAGTATTGATATTGATGAACGGAGCAAATAAACAATCTGAGCAAGAAGTTGATCGAGAGAAGAGTCGAATGCGAGGAGGAAATAAAAAAAGAAGTACACGAACGAATAGAAACAAAATGATAAAGAAGAAGAATAAGAAAAGTAAATCACACAAATGCTACAAATGCAATATCAGTTTAAAGAGATCGATTAAGTTTTCCCGAAGACTTTTGTTAAACATTTGCAGTGCCGCCAATGATTTGACTGTCTCTTGGTTCCAGCTGCTCACTCTCTATCCTCTCTAGCTATCTCTTCGTCTCTCTCGTTCTCTCTTCCTCTCTTCGTCACAATTTTCCATTCAATACGAGAGATAGACAGAGAGATGCTGCGCCCAATAGATACAATGACAGCGATCGAAAGAGAGAAAACGAGAAAATTGAAACAAGTTGGAATGTTTGTGTCATGTTGTCTTGGTTGGGTCTTGGGGTGCGTTTTCACTTGAACGCGCCCAAGCAGCAGCAGCAGTAGAGGCACCAATAGCACCGTCCCAACGGAATTACACCATTATTTTGCCATTTTTTGATTAATACGAGAGTGAAGCGTATTCAATGAACGGTCTAAATCAGAAATGAGAGGAGAAATTCCCTACGTCTCGAGCAAGCTGCACATCAATCGGCAATTTGTTTCGCAGTAGCAATTTCTGTTTTTTTTTTTACCATCTTTCGTCTCATTTGAAAATGTGTGTGTGTGCGTGTGCACAGTGTCATAAAACATATTTTCCTTATCGGAAAATTGCGATCTAAAATATAGATAGTATCTATTTTTAAGAGTGCCTTCGTTTCGAAGCAGAAAAAAAAGAGCTTCGGAACTCAATTTCAAGTTGACTCTTATGTTTTTGATTTTCTTGTACATTTCTCTTTGCAGTCCGTTCTTTTTTTTCTTTTTCTCCTAGTATGTATGCATAAAACAAAATAGCATTTAGTTTAATTTCCGTTCACTTTTGTCCATCAGTCACAAGAGGAAAGAGCGATAGCGTGAATGGAGAAAGAAAAAGAAAAAAAGGAGGACAAATCTGTCATGCTTTTGAAAACCTGACTCGATGAAAGGAATGAAAGAAGAGACGAAGTCACAAAAATGCTGTCAATATATTTCGCATGTTTTCGACGTATCGTGTACTTTCTTTGTGCTCAACGAGAGGTGATGTACAATCGATTGAATGAGTATGGCCGCGTCGTGCGCTGGAAAATGAAATGGAGCAAGGAAGAGAGAGAGAGAGAGAGAGAGAGAGAGAGAGGCAGAAGTGCTGTCGAACAACCAACCAATTCGGTTTGGTTATGATGGGGAAAATTTGTTAGGTAAACGAATGATCCGCATTGAATTAAATGGCGTCGCACAATTATGTTTACATATTGGAGTAATAATTGTTGGAAAATGAACTTCTCAAATGGCTGATTGCAAGGCATTTGTATGGCTTATGTGTGTGAACGAGAAACGTGAACGTTCTCGCGCTTCTTGTTCCTGAATGAAGCGCGTACACATTCTTTGCGCGAGTATACAACAAAATCAAACAAAAACTTTGTCGAAAATATCAAAGTCTTGATGATTGTTTAGTCTCCTTTTGTTGCCCTACCCGCCATCTCCTCATCTCTGCCACGTCCTTTTGTAATGGCAATTATGCGAATTTTAAACGGTGTGCAGTTTCAATTATGTTGATCGTATGATAAAACTTTCTCGTACATCAAAGTCACTAGAGAACCGAAAGCGCGCGCGAACACCACTTGCAAATAAATGAATGAAGCAAACAGACACACAGACAGACAGAGCCAAGAACGAAAAGAATGAGCGAAAAACAACAACGTTAGGAGAAAAAAAAAATTGGTTCAAACGGAATGGTAAGCCTCTCAAAACACAAGAAGCACCGCATTACAGTGAATGTAAGTGAGTCAGAAAACGAGTGAGGGGGCAGGGAGGTAGGGAGGTAGAGAGTGAGATATCGTTAATGCGACAGATGAATAGAAACGGCGCGAGTGCGAAAAAGAGAGCAGAGGCACTGTGGGGTCGAATGAGTGCACGCCACCGGGAATACGGTAAGGTATGAAAAGAAACACGGAAAATGAACAGATTAATGCTGATTCGTCGTTTTTAATTCAACTTTTACCTTATGTCCAAATTGTGTTGTGGGAAGAAGCGAAAATCGCTCGAATTGAAATGAATAAAGTGAGATGCCATATCAACGTGCGCGCCATCGCTCTCATTTTGGCGCTCGACGGATGGTAAGAGGCATGGGAATGGATAGCAAAACACACACACACAGCGCTTGAATTCTCTTTCTTTCTTTTTCTCTGTGCAATACCAAAGACATGACAATGATAGAAAGAAAGGAAACGAACTGAAGAAAAACAACCGAGAAAAAAACCGACAGCCAGATTTGCAGTGAATGCGGCATTTGTCCTCTGAAACCAACACACTCAAGTACACACACACACACACACAAATACCACTGGGTAAATTCCTTACTTTTGCTTCTCTGAATTGTCTCTTCTGGTATTATCTATTCAATGTTGAGAATTTTGTGGCGCGCACATGGGCTGCACCATCATCAAGTCTCGGCTCAGATGGAGAGCTCACTCTCATACTCTCTCTCACTCTTCATTTGCACAAAATCCCGAATAATTAAATTGAAATTAAATGTGCAATGTTGTTGTTGCCATCATCATCAACAATGTCATTGTGACGCTGAGAAATTTGAAATGCCATTTACTGTCGTCGTTCTGGCTTAGTGCACGCATTCAAAGTCAACGACGAAAAACACACATGAAAATAGACTTTGCGAGGCTCGAAGCATTTAACATGCGTCACTCTATATATGAGCACGATCGAAATGAAATATAAATATGTGTGCGAGAGATAGAGGGAGCAGGGGAAGGAAGAGTGGCACGCATGAAAAAGAAAATAGCGTACAGGATGATACAATAAATGTAATAGCAACAACAGCAACAACAGCAGCAGGAGCAGCAGTGGTAGCAGCAACATGATGCCAGTAAAAAAAAGTAAATTGAATCGAAATGAACAAAAAACATGCACAAACACACGCACACATACACATCCACTGTCACGAATGAAGACATCGAGATAGAGCGAAATGAAAACAGGGATAGAAGAGACAGTGTATTGAGAAATGGAAAACTATTTATACATATCTCATTGTGTATAGAGAAAAACGGATGTGGAGACTAACAACTTCCGTCAAACTTTCTTTTCTTCCCAGCACAACAACTGCAGCGACATCGAAATTGAGTCAGAGTGCGACCGAGATAGAGAGATACAAGAGCCACAGAAAGTGGAACCGAAAGTGAGTGTGGGTGAGAGAGAGAGAGAGAGAGAGAGAGAGAGAGAGAGAGAGAGCCGCTGTGAAATAAGCGAGACCGACAAAAGAATATAAACTATTTGTATTAAAGTTAAGCGCATAGAACCATGTGACATATAAATTACGTCATAATAATGTGTGGCATCATTGGAAAACCAAATGAATAATAAACGTATAAATGGGCACATACACACACATAAGCGCACACATTCACACATGCATACAAATATTTCGTCCCGAAAATGTTACACATGTAAATTAACTGTGATGTTTGTTATGCTATGCGGCACAAATGTACCAGGGACAAGTGACTGGAATAAGAGCAAATACACAAAAACAGCAACGAATGAAAAAAACACACACACACACACAGATTTGTTCACAACTTGAGAGTCGAAATGAGCATCACACACACACATATACGCACACATTTCACGACCACATGATTTCACGCAATATTTTCGTTCCGTTTCTTAATTCACTTTTTGCCACATAAGCACATGTCGGGGCACTTTTTGCCACTTGGTGTCATCACTTGTTGTTTTTTCTTCATATATATTTCCCAACACAATACATATACGAAACACAGAAATATACTATCTCTTGATTCATGGATGGGTAATGATTATGTGCACGATGTTGATCATGGGAGTTATTTGTCACGATCGAAGATTAGTCAAAGGACGCCAAAAAAAAACAACAAATAAATAATAACGAAATGAAGAGATATATGTTGTGATGTCGAAAGGAAAAAAAAAAGAAAAACAACAAAAAACGCCACGAAAATACGAAGAGAAGAAAAAAATATTTATAGATAGATATAGATATAGATAGATAGATAGAGATGCTATATAATACTTACCCCGGCCAGTGTTTTAACATTGTGCAGTGCATCTTGTGCATTTAGAGCTGCCTTTCGAGTAAAGAACGTCACAAAACAACACCCTATAATGAAATAAACGTGCCATATACAATATAAAAGATTCATTTGGCGGAAGAAAAAAAAAACTCAACAAAATGCAATATGTTTTTTTTTCTCTGCTGTTCAAAAAACCAACATACAATAGAGATAATTAAAAAAAAACACTATATCATAATTAAAAAATAATAAAATAAAATGCAATACGCAAATAAAATATGCAATGCATATGTTATATAATATGAATGTAATCCAGTGGCATAAAGATAAAATCAAATTAGTCGTCAGCGCTCCAAGTGCTCGGATGGCATTCTAAAAATACACCATACAAAGCAAAATATATTGTGAATTATGTGAGCGAAATAGAGAAACGAAAGAGCGTGTAACCCGTTGTAAATGTTTAACCCGTTGGTATTTGAATTTTGTTTTTAATTTTTCATGCAATTAACCTATTCGACGTTTGATTTAAATGATCAACAATATCAAACCGCCAAAAAATAAACTAAGCAAAACGGAGCACTTGAAGCCATGCCGACCATGTGTTGTAATACGCGCACCAAAAACATATATAATATATATATATATAAATATATATAAAATAAAATGTAATAATAAATAATCATATGTATATACGTATATTTTACAAAATACGGAACGAGATATAAATAAAAAAAAATAAAATAAAATGCATAATTATAACAGCATATAAAATGCGAAAATCGAATATACAGGCGACGAGAGATAGAGAGAGAGAGAGAGAGAGAGAGAGTGAAAAAGAGCTGAGAAAAATAAATGGAAAGAGTAAATATTCAATGGAAAATATATATGGATATATAAAATAATTGGAAAATATTGAGCGATTGGACGCATTTTTTATTATTACGATATACTATTTTGAATTTCGCCCCGGATGGAAATTGGATTTTGATGTGAAAGAGGAATGGAGAGAGAGAGAGAGAGAGAGAGAGAGAGAGAGAGAGAGAGACAAAAAAGAGTAATAGAATCGTAGGATGAGAAATGCAAGCATAAATTGTAAATTCATTTCAATCTCTTGAATTGACCAGCACAATGTAAAATTTGCGAGAATATTACTAGTCGAAAATTAATATGTTCGTGTGTGGTGGCGGTGGTGTTGTTGACGGTATTAGCAGGAGATGAAGAGCTGCAGTTGCTTTTACCAAATGAAATCAGCATGCCGGTGTGGGAATTGTAAGTATGAAGAACGATTTGTAGCTGCAAATCGCTCATACAATCGTCGACATGTTTAAATGGTTTATTAAAAATCTCGCATCAACTTTTGTTCTAGAACACACACATACACACACACCTACCCACGAGTACATTCTATTAAATACGCTCGATTCCGATTCATTTGAATTTCAACTGGAAAAATCTATTGGATAAATATACATGGACCATCAGGCACACATGAGGGTGTGTACGAAGTTGTTGTTGTTGTTGTTGTTGTTTTTTTTCAAACTCTGTGTTGTTAGCGAATATTTGCTATCACACCTGCAACAATCGCTTGTTGTTGGATATACTCGATTTAAATCGATAACAGCAAACATATTCGACTGCTGCCCATTCTCCAAATTCAGCCCGGTGCCGCTCGCTCACACCATACACACACACACACACACTCTTACTCTTGTACATATCGTAATTCGCATCGTCTCGTTGTACAATGTGAAAACTCGGTGCGGTTTACACGCTTAACAAAGTACTGCGAACATAATAAAACCGATCGAAATGTTAGAAAGAGAGATCGAAATGTTAGAAATGTTGGGCGAGCGAGCGAGAGAGCGAGTTAACAAACGAGCCACCGGACGAACGAAATGAGTTTGGTAGATGATTTAATGAAATTCCATTGGTCAATAAATTAATGGATCGCATTGTTATTATAAATGAAAATATTTTATTTTGTGTGCCGTCGATGATTTTGGCCATACACGTACATACGTTCGACAATCGAATTTTATTTTCCAGCGACCGCCCCAGCGATGGAATCTGTCTTATTGACTTTGATGTCCATTGTTAAATTAATAACTGGAATTTTCATTTAATTGTAATTTGAGATTGTTGCCCATTCTGGTATTTCGATAATATTTTCTGTTGATTTATTCAGTTCCTTTTTGTCTGACACGGCCACAGCAACAGCAACAGCAACAAACAAACAACAGCGCGCTTTGGAATGCCGTGTTTTGTCTGTGTGCTATCCCTCATTGAATCAAAGTCGAGCAAATTAACTTGAAGCTTTGTTAGTAAAAATTCCATTCACAAGTCGTTTTTATTTCGTGTCGTTTATTTTTTTTCTTCTTTTCTATTTTTGCTTCTCTCCGGCTGAAAATGATAATAATTGGAATGGACGAGAGCGAGAGAAGCAAGAGGGGAAGAGACAAAGAGCGAGAGCCATAAGGCAACATTCCAATGTTGCGTGAAAATATCACACAGCAACGAAAAAGCACATTGAATTTGGTGGTTGTGAAATTACGAAAAATTGGCACGCGCATCGTTCGTTTGTCGCTGTGTTGTCGTTGCCGCCGTCGTCGTCGTCGTCCTCGTCGCGCTCCTGAATATTTACGCCGGATTTACTCAATTGAATGCGATGGAAAATCATCGCACACTATTATCAGAACATTAAAATTGGGTGCCAAATTCGAAATGCCCACCCCTGAGCGAATCATTGCCAAGAAAAATGCAATTTCGTGTTAGAAACCGAACAGGAAAAAAAACAAGATTAGAGTTTAAAGAGAAATTGGAAAAGAGAGAGAATAAACAGAAATCTCAAACGTAAATATTGCAAGAGAAAAAAAACCGCGGCCAAAAAAAAAGTGACAAGAAATTAAAAAAAAAACAGCCAGGAAAAAAATGATCTAATCCAATTACCTTTACTGACACCAGTTACTTTGTCCCGTAGTACATTTATCGAATGCACACGACCAAATTCCTCGAACATTTCACGTAATTGATCCTCGTCCATTGATTTCGGCACCTGGCCAACAAACATTTTTATAAAGTCAGGATCCGGTTGTTCGCAGCGATTCGCGCACAGCCCTTCCGGTGAACCATTCAAGTTATTGTTATTCAAAACATTGTTATTGTTATTGTTGTTGATGGCTGTGAACACAAAAAAAAAGATTCATCATTTTCGTTTTGTAACGATGTTTTTCTTTATTTTACTGAATGAAAAAAAAAATGCCATTTGCAAAATCACGCTTTGCAAAATATTTAATGTTTTTTTTTTTCTCTCTCGAAACAATATCGAAAAGAATCGAATAAAAAGCAAAAGCAAAAGAAAAAAAAAATTGAAAATAAAAAGAGAAAAGAATTTTGTTACAAAATGCGCCATTATTTGTGCGCTCTTTTTACCGGCTGCAGAAACGGCATTGTTAATATTAATCGTGGGACTGGTGCTACAACTGTTGTGGTTGTTCCTGAAATGGTATGAGAAAAAGAGAGAAAACATTGGTGAAATTTATTTTTTTAATAAAAATGTTTTTTTTTATCGCAGATTTATTGAAAAAAATGAAACGAGATTTCAATTGAACAGAGAGAGAGAAAGGGAGAACAACGAATATTTGGAATTTAAGTGAAGCTCAAAAGTCTATATATCCAGGTGTATATAAAATAGGTAGAGAGTGAAAAAGTCGTATTCATTCGCGAGATTTAACCTTCCAAGTTTATGGCATTTTGTGGTTTCGATGGCAGAGAGAATTTACGATTTTTTTTTTCTTCTCTCGGTTAATTCTTGTTCGAAGAGGGCTGGGAGGAGAAAAACTGTTCTTGGAAAATTAATTTGTTTTGAGCATTGTTTCGCATTCGTCGAGCCATTACTTACGGAATTAAGACCCATCCAGTCGAATGAAGCCAAAAATGGAGCAGCGCGATAGAGAGTGAGAACAAGAGAAAGCAAGAGAAAATTCAAAAATAACTGGAATATTGCGATAAGAAAATATGAATGAAAGTTTTTCGTACTGAACGGGAATAGAAATGAGATACAAATAATCGTTGTGGCCAATTCAATGTTCAGAACTTCCGTGAATGTGCGAAACACGCACGGTCAACTTGCTCTCAGACACACATCACGCTGGCCTTTGGAAACAGTGGCAATGGCGACGATGAACAGCAAAATTACGATACTGTAACAGCCTCTTCATTAGTTTTATGTATTTTTCCGTCCATTTGTGTCCCTGACTATATGTGTTTTTTTTTTGTTCGGTTGTCCTTCTCTTCACATCTCTCGTAGCGCGCACGATGTGATGCTGTTGTTTTTGTTTTAAACGAGCCCCGATTAAGAACGTGCACTGTGAATTATTGTATCATCATAATCAGGCGACCACGAAAAGTTTTTTTTTTATCCTGCGGCCGTAAAAACGGTTTAAAGCAAAAAGCCAACGGAAAAACCATACTCACACTCATACATACACTCACATGTACACATTTTCGCTTCAATACACACATGCGCTCAATTTGCTTTGTGCCTGTCGTATCATTTGGTTCCATTTATCATAAAATGTGCTCATTCGACGAATGACTGATGATTTGATAGTTTTAGCAACAAATAGATAGCATGTAATATACTTTTGCATCATTAATTCCATGCGAGTTGAAGCGGTCAATGGTTGGGGTTGGGTGGAGTAGCGGTCGACGGCCCGAAACTGAATTTCACAGTTTACGTGAGATGATACAAATGGCAGTACATAAATTCAACTATGATTTCGTTTTATTTCCATCTGGCCGCCCCCACCCCAATCTCTCTCTTTTTCACTTCTTCGCATATATATATATATATATATATATTTATATATCCCACTCTATTTTCGGTCGTTCGGTTGCTTTCTCGCGCGCGTGAAACCATCTCAATCTCACCGAAAATGGTTTGGCGCTCGTTTACTTTCTTACACCCTCCTTCCTCAACCGCTTCATGCAAAGTTTTCGCAAAGTTTCAAAGTAAATATAAGCGCAATTTCATCCAGGTATATTAGATGTATATATATATATATATGTGTGTGTGCTGTGTATACAAAACTCTACCCATCTCAAGGCTCCTCAACGAAACGCAGTATCAAACGGCCAAAAAGAAGAAGATGAAATAAAAACTCAGCGAATACAAAGTAAAGAGGGAGAGAATCATACAGCAGTAACAGTAACAACAACAAAAAAACAAGAACAATAATGGAACAGGAAAAAAAGATGCGAAAAGAACAGTAAAAAAAGAGGAAAAAGAAGCGATCATCATGCTGATAATAAAAAAAAAGCAGAAGAAAAATTAGACATTTTTAACAAAAGTTTTGTGTGTGCTTGAGAATGGGCGCTATCGTACATGATGTGTACATAAAACGATGTCCATAAAATTTGTCTCGATCCGAAAAAAGCAACAACAATAACGAAAAAAAAATCAACAGCGGCAAAATAGTGTGATAGCATAAGAGAATGAGAGTGAAGCAGAGCAGCAGCAGCAGAAGCAACATCATCAAGACAAGCGTCAGAGGTGCCAGAGGACAGGAAAAAAAGGCACATGCACGACATTGATAAAATGATAAAAGCGTATAGTTCGAAAATGCTGCACCGAGAATAGATAGGGAGCAGGAGCGAGCGAGCGAGACATAGCAAGCATATAAAAAAAATAACGATGACAAAGGCGAACTCGAACCACAATGATATCTTGTTGTTTTGTTTTGTTTCGCAAAAATAAAGTTTGATAGACGATAAGTGATTGACTTTTATTTTTATTGGGCTTAACAGAAGTCGAACGGTTTTCTCACATGCATGGCTTGCTTTCGGCGAGCAAGAGCGTACATATTGTTGAATTTGGTGCGACGTATGAAATGTGAAGTGAGCGAGCGAGCAACTCGACTGAGCTTGGGTGAACTTTTATCAATCACAGTTTTTGTTCTTGTCGTCATCATCATCATCAGCATCATCGGTGGCGGTTAGCCTGTGTTGCTTTTTTGTTGTGAATGAGAACAGAGCAAATATGTGTGTTAACTGCTTGATGTTGGATGCTGCCTGCCGACGCTCATTTCTGTTCACGCTGATTGGTGTGGTGTGGTTAGGTTTTATTCAACTTGTTTTTCAAAATCGTTTTATGTGGCTGGGCCACCCCGATAGATGCATGTTGAATACCATTTATTCACCTTTCATTATTCACGAAAAAAAATATAGCTGGACACTAGCAGAAACAGCAGTGGTGGTAGCAGTAGCGACGGCGGCGGCGGTGGTGGAAATGCCAACAACAATGCTAGGCCAGTTCACAAAAACAAATTCAATGGCAGGTGACGCCGTGGCGAAAACGTGCCAGAAAGAGAAATACCACCGCCAATGTTTGTTTAGTGCGTGCCAATTCACTCGTCCGTTCAACCCTCCCGGACAATGGACACATTGCAAACCAACGTATGAAAAGCAAAAAAAACACACACACACACACATTAAAATTGCACTCGAATAATGTATATGTATTCGTGGTCACAGTTCGCAATAACAGTGGTCAAACTGCGAACATATCGGCGGAAGAGACCGAGACATACAGCAGAGACCGAAACAGTGCCGAACTTTGTTTGTGTAATGGGACAAATGCCGAAAACAAAACACACACACACACACACACACTGGGAAGAAGGATGGGCAACTGTAATGAATGCAATTTGAATTTGAATATGTTTTATTTTTCATTATTTGGCGACACACATTACCCATTCATCACATTCTCCTCGAATGCGTGCGCTGTCAAAGGGCGCATTCAAACACTTTTACCATCTTCATCATCCTCCTCCTACTACTCATCCTCCTTCACATCAAAATCATCATCAGCAGCAGCAATGCTGTTGCCATCGTCGTTATCGTTGTCGTTGTCGTCATCGTCGTCGTGCAAATATTATTTGCCACCATAATTAATTACACTGTAGGCATACACAAAATACTCTCTGGGTGCGTTCGCTCTTATGGTTTTTAGAAAATCCTTGTCGTCGGTTTTTGTTTATTGTCATTTATTGGCGCGTGAATTGCGATTGTTTTGATGGAGCATTACAAATAGCAAGCGACAATGTCGCGTAATGGAAAAAAAGGGATAAATGAAAATCACCGTCAAAAGCTTCAATATGCATGCATGGCTTTCCATTTGAATCAGTGTTGCGGCTCCGAGCAATAGACAAATACTCACAGACACACAACAATGCCCTCTAAAGCAATGCAATACCACTCTCACACGCAAAACCAGCAGAGAGACGACAACGATAACAACAACAACAACAACAACGACTACGACGACGATGACAAAAAAAAACAATAAAGTGCTTTCATAATTCTTGTGTACAATTTTTATTTATCAGCCGCACAATTCAAAATTTCTCTCGTTCGTTTTTTTTTTATTGTTTTGTTCTTTTTTTCTCTCCTTTCACCATGCTGACGTAGTTATATTGTCTATATGTGTGTGTTTTTGTAACCCCGGTGTAAACCTTCGATAGGCAAACAAAAAAAAACATATCGTCGTGGCAAAAGGAACACAACACCCCGAATAACAGCAACAAAAAATGATGAAGAAGCACAAGCACGTTGAAAGGAATTTTTCGAGAGGCTGACAATAAGCGGATATCCGTTTGAGATCTTCAGCTTATTTACATTGTGTCACATTGTAGATGTGTGTGTATGTGCTCTACTGTTTCAGCTTGAGTTGCTGCCGCGGTGGCTGCTCTTGTTGTTGCCGTGCTTTCTTTCCTTTCTTTTCTATTCTCTTCCCTTTAGATTTTTTTTTATTTGATGTTTTGCTGGCTGCCTAGCTGCTTGTACTCTTTATTCACTTGGTTCGGCTCCCCCCGAAAAAAGAGCACACACACACACACACGATGGAGGAGGATTCACGTTTATGGTTACGTATGCGAAATATTTATGAATTGTGAACGTTGTACGTGTTCGTGCATATGTGCGTGTGGGGTTTAACGGTAAAAATTTATCAATATTCATCGTATTAGATGCATTATAATCGAAGATTGTGAGGGAACAAGCAAAACAGCAGAAGAAAAAAAAAACGATAGAAGTTTTGCTCGTTCCTTTTTGTCGCTCACCGTTGTTAGTAGCGTGTGCGTGCCTGATCGAACCCAACAAATGGCATGTGTTTGAGTTCGCGATTTTACGTTTTTTTTTTCATGTGTGTTTTGTATTCGAATCATCGTCGTCGTCGTCGTCGTCGTCGTCGTCGTCGTCGTCGTCGTTGTCGGCAGAGCGAGATTTTTTCTGGGAGCGAGTCAAGTTTTTGGCTATGAGCATGATTGCCAACCGAGCCAACGCCATGCAATATGCACAACGTAATCTGTTATCACGACAGATTTAATGTTGGTGAGATTCACATTGACTCTCACACCGTGATGGCGCGCGCGACACACCACGAAATAACGCTGAAAAGCAACAGAGAGCACACAGCACACACATATATCGTGGT